GTTAAATATAGTACTTTGTTTAGTACACAGACAAGTATTTGTTGAATGAATCATTACTGGAGACAGAAATGGCAATGTAAATCAACTTCTCTATGAAAAGAGACTAGCTTCAAAGAACTGGTTACCTTGCATTATGCCACTCACAGCTGAGAAGCCACTGAACAGTTGGGGGTGTTGGTGCCATTGAGCCCCACTTGCGTGTTGGGCCTCTACCAGGCATGGCACATCCTGCCCCATGGAATTGTCACCTATCCCCTCCCACCTCTGGCCCTGCACCATATCTTGGGACACATACTGCACCAAACCCTGCAGCACACTCCTCCTCCTCTCTCTGGAATAGGAAGGTTTGCTCTGCTCTGGGGTGGGCTGAGCGGGAGAAAAAAGTATGTTCAGGAGGCAGAGAGAGGGAGGTGAGGAGCAGGAAAGCTGTCGCCACACTTCCTGATCATTGTCCACCTGTGATGCCTTCTTGCCCAGTTGTCAGTCTGAACTTTTTAATTCTTTTTTACAGAAAAAAATGAGGCTGAAAGTTTGGAAGAAAATGAGGAGCCTTTCATAGCCCCATTGGGACTGAACGTCCCCCCAGATGTGGAGCTGGTACGTAGCACCTTCATGAGCATTGTGCATCTTCATTGCTGCCAGTAGATCAGGCAGTATGGGGTATGCAAGCTGATGGGGAGAAGGTTGCACCCCACTGTTTGCTTGGAAGTAACGTGGCATTAAGCAGGTGCCTGACATGCTGGGTCTGTGTGGGCAGTCGTGGGTCCAGCCCTAGCTCACCTGGAGTGAATGGACTGTGTCGGAGCTGGTGGTGCCCGGGTGCACAGCTTGGTCCCATGCTCTGGTGTCTTCTAGTGTGGTTCTTGGGTGTTTAATCTCTACCTTCTGCCCTCTGGGCAGTGTCCCCTGCTGTGATTTGTCTCCAAGCCTGTGCAGGCTGCCTTCCAAGGAGGACAGCCAAGGTGAGGCCCCATGTGATCTCACCGTAGTCTCAGTTGCTAAGTTTAGGTCAGTTATGACAGGTGCCATGCAAACAGGTTTGGTTTGATTGGGTTTGGTTTGGTTTGTGAACATTTCTTGAGGGATTTCTCCTTTCCAGCCCTGGGTTAAGATACTTGTTAGTGCATCTTCTTATGTAATGCTGGCAACTTTATGACTTCAGCACCATTGTTTCCCTATTTTATAGGTGAGGAAATTATAACTTTTGAAGGTGACAAAATGTTGACCAGAGACAGGACAGCAGACTTGGGGTCTTAACTATCCTACCTGTTATTATACTTTATAGGACTTTGTCTTTTCTTTTTTCTTTCTTTCCTTTTTTTTTTTTTTTTTTTTTTTTTGAGACAAAAGCTCACTGTGCAGTCCAGGCTGGCCTTGAAGCAGAGCTGCTGTGCACAGATGCCTGACCTGGTGCTTACAGTAACCATCACTGTGTACTTGGCTGGCCTCCGGCTCTAGGTGATCCTCCTTCCTTAGGCTCCTGAATGTCAGGATTACAGGTGTGCACCACCATAGCTGGCTCTTACAGGGCTTTTGTATGCTTATTGGGGATATTTAAAATACCTTTATTATACATGCATGCCTATGAAGTGTTTCTCAAGTATTCATGCTCAGCAAAAAATATTTCCTGCAACATTTCCAAGCTAGACCTCAGTGCTGAGGCATGAGTATCCGGGTTGTGTGTGTCTGCTGTGCTGAGTCATTCGCAGGCGGCAGCCGCCATCCTCTCCAGGGCTGCTTGCTGCCTCTCCAGGTTATTCCAGTGTAACGTCCCCAGCCTTGCCGTCTCCCCTGCTTTTGGGGTGGTGAAGGCAAATGACAAGACAGCATTTCCCTGCTGTCTCTGCCCACACAGGAGATTGTTGAAATCATTCGCTCCATTTCTCATACTTGATGCTAAAACCTTCACGTGAGCTCGCCTCTCTGGAGCTTCACTCTGGGTAAAAGGAGTTTCAGGTGCCTACAAGTATAAATACAGAGGTGCAGTGGTTTTCCTGCTCCATTGTGTCCCTCTTAGCCCAAGGGCTGGCCGGAGCATCACTGAGTTGCTGGCAGGCTGTGGTGGACTGTGTGCAGGCACTGCTTCTTTGCTGACACTTCTTCTCATGTCTAGAGGAGGCCTTTGGGGCCTGTTTGGCTCTGGTCTACATCTTTGTTTCCTCTCTGTATGTGACCAGTGAGGGGGCAATGGTCCATCACGCCACCTCTTACCACACTGTCCACTCCTGGGGATGTGTGTGGATGTGTCAGCGGCTGCTGACTGCATGCTGGGCCCTGCTCAATGGCAAGGTGACCAGGCACTGCCCTGGACAGACTGCAGCAGGTCTTTTCAGGCTCTCAGGGTCTGAAGCCTGCATGTGAGAGCCTGAGCGTCCCATGTGAGACCCTGCCTGGCTCCTATGGCTTTGGTGCTTGACAACAGCTGGAGGTGGGGGTGGGGGGGTGGAGAATGCATCCCCCACATCCTGTCCTGCCCTCCTATCTCCTGAGACCTGCAGGTGGCATGTGGGGCTCCAAGCCTGTGCTGAGGAGTGATGTCTGCTGGTGCCAGTCACCTGCCTCCTGTCTGGTGTAGGTTTTACTTCTCTCAGCCCCGGGTCAGTTGTGGGCCCAGAAGCCATGCTGCTCAGCAGGCCTGTTAGAAAACACTGTAAGGCAAACTGCCTCAGGGACATAGAGAAGCTCAGTTGCTGCTGGATGCAGCATTTTGGATTGCTAGGTTAACTATCACGTGTGCGTTTTGCGCACATGCTGTGTGCCAGGCATCAAGCAGAGCTGCTGCGTCCAGATGTCTGACCTGGTGCTCACAGTAACAAAAGTGATACAGTTGCTACCCGGGATTCAGATGAGGTACAGTGAGGCTTAGAGAGGCTAGGAGGAGCTGCCCTGACTCAGGCAGGAGGAGTCAGCTGAGCAGCCAGCTCAGCCTTAAAGATCTGGTTGCACAGTGTAGGTGAGAGTGCTGTCATCACGGTGTAAGTGCCACACTGTGTGAGGGGTGGCAGGAGGAGGAAACTCAGGCCCCTGGGGAGGATCCTTCACCGTTGCCCAGCACCTCAGCCCTCTGGCTTGTGGTGTTTGTCTAGGTGCCCATCTCGTAACTGTGGGGCTCCTTCCCGGCAGGTTCCTGTGACTTGCCAGGTCCTGTCGGTCACCACTTTTCTGTGCCATCGCTTTCCGAAGCTTGCTTAGGAATTGTTTTACTGCTCCCAAGAGATTGGAATTTTCCCGTGTTTCCTGCCCCTACTACTGCTGCTTCTGTGATTTTGTTCCTGCATTTGGATTGTGAAGATCTAATGTTGGGCAAAGTGGGCATTTCGTGTTTCTTCCCCATTGGAGAAGGCCTGCCCAGCTGCTCCCCAGGGAGCTGGGCTCACTTTCCAGCTCCTCCCATGCTACACCTTCCAGGGGGTCCCCCACCTACCAGCCAGTCATCTGGCCACCTGCTCGACCTGGTTGAGTGCTGTGCTTGGCCATCGTGGGGTGGAGGTGGAAGGGTCGCCTGCTGGACCCGAGTCCAGAGTGTCCGTCTCTGTGGGCCTCCTGGCTGTTGGCTCTGCTCTCCCACTTCCCAGTCCTTGGCTGCCCACAGGGATGCACTTTGAGACACCCACCACTCCACACCACTCACTGCTTCAGCACGTGGGCCTTCTTACCTGCGGGCTTCTGTCAGGTGGTTTTGTACCTCATGCACAGGATGTGTTGAGTTTGTCAGCTGTTCTTTGGTGCTGAGATAGAGCCAACATGTATTGCACCCCTACAGCCCCTCTGCCTCTGTCTTTGAGATACCACTGTATAGTGGGAACAATCCTGGTACTTACTCTCAGGTAGAAAATAATGTGTCTAAATCTGCATAATACATGGAAAAGAATGTTTTTGTTCAAGCCAGATATTTTTTTCATATGCTATTAATCTGATAGCAGATCTTGAACTGTTCATTAAGGTGCTTTTGAGTTTCAGCCATTGTGGTTAGGATAGTACTTTTTTTTAAAAATGTATTTAGTACAGGGTCTACAGTGTTTCACTACGTAGCTCGGACTCAGTGATCCTCCTGTTTTCAGCCTTCTAGGAGTTGGGACTACAGGCGTGTGCCAACACACCCAGTCTCAATCACTATCTCAGCATGCCAGGGATTGAACCCCAGGGGTGGGGCCGGCATGGCATGCCAGGGATTGAACCCCAGCTCCTACACTCTGCCCAAGCAGGCGCTTTAGTCCCCTGAGGTCTCAGGCTGGCCCTAGGATATGTACGACATTAATGGGCCTACTTTTTCCATATATCATACCCAGAGCTGGTTTGGTGAGTAGCCTATTTTCTCTGAAGGATCATTATTCTAAAGGGATCCTTAGTCATTGCTGTGTTTATGGAACTATGCCATTGTTTTTTCAGAAGGAATCCTCCTGTTTAGCTAAAGCCAGTGAAAATATGCATCAGATGCCTATTGCAGTGCACAATGACTTTTTAACAGACTAATTTATTTGGGGATCTAAATAAGTTTAATTATAGACATTTATCCTTTTTAAATGTGAAGAACATTATTAATTCTGAAATTAAATTTTGAAAGTAAGTCATTTGTATTTTATGAAGGATGAGACCCTGAAACTACAGTGAGCATGTTGAATTGTTAACTGCCCATGTTTAATGAGAATAATTCCCAGTTTTATTTTCATGTAATTTCCTAGTGTGAATCTCTTTGTTATTGAAAGTATTTGAGAGATGTAGCATCTGGCTTCTGGTCTGGCACGGTCTCTGCACAGGTAGGACATGGCCAGCACGTGACATGGTAGGCAAGACTCAGCAAGTGAGGACAGCGGCGTGGTGCTGGTGGGAAACGGGACAGAAGGCAAGGAAAGGGCCCGCCACCTGCACGTGCCCAGCCCTGTCCTGCTCTAGGCAGGGCACCCAGGCGGCCCTAGTCTGGGACTCTGGTTTAAGTTGACGGCACAACTTAAACCTGCGTCTTGCAGGCACTTGAAGATGGTGAGGTGCAGAAGAGTCTTGGCATGAGCTTGGGGTTTCCCCTCCCAGAGCTTGGTTGGAAGGAGGGACCTCCACAACAGGAAAGCTGTGTGGCTGCCAAGGAAGGAAAGAGGCAAGAGGGAGTCTTCCATCTTTGAGGAGTGTTGAAACGTGTGTCTCGCCCTTTGGGAAAGTGTGTGTGTAGGTAAAAGGTTTGAGTGCATCTTCTGAGTCAGGACCCTTCCTAAGAGTCACCCCACCACAGTAACCAGGTAGCTTAGAAACATGTTGATGTAGTACAGAAAAGCCTCACTCCGGTGGGTCTCTGCAGAGGTGGGTGACCCATGTCCTGGGCGTGTCTCCCCATCAGTACTGGCAAGGTTCGGATGCATTGTCATCATGTCTAGGTCAGGCTCTTCCCTCATTTGGGTGGATGGTGAAACCAAGTCTGCGCCCATCGTAGTTAGATCAGAGGAGGACAGGTCAGTAACACTGGTGTGTGTTTTCTCATAGCCACCTACTGCCAAGATGCACGCCATCATCGAGCGCACAGCCAACTTTGTGTGCAAGCAGGGAGCACAGTTTGAAATAATGCTGAAAGCGAAGCAGGCCCGGAACTCTCAGTTTGACTTCCTACGCTTTGATCACTACCTCAACCCTTACTACAAGTTCATCCAGAAGGCTATGAAGGAAGGACGGTATACCGTGTTGGCTGAAAACAAGAGTGAAGAGAAAAAAAGTGCGTGGGCCTGCTTCTTGGTTCGGTGTGGAGCCTGTCGGGCTGTGGTACTTGGGGAGAATCATTTGGGAAGAATGGAGGGATACCACCTCAGATCTAGGCTGGAGGCTTTGTGCAGAGTCCTGCTGCTGAGGCGTGGCCAGCAGTCCTGCTGGAGCACCTGTAGTAGATTCTTAGCTGATGTATTTTAAATGTAGGTGTAGTAAAATTAACTCTTAACCCCACCCAAACAGAACTGTCCAGGTAGGAAAGTTTTTCTCTTGCTTGGCTTGCTTAATGTTCTGTAGAGAAAATGGTGAGTTTCGCACTTTGTCGGATTGTTTGCCAGTGCGAGGGCTTGTACACAGGGTCTGGGAAATGAGCTGGCTGTGTTGTTAGTGGGCTTCTGTCGAGGGCAGGTGTGTCTCTCCTGAGTGGCATCTAGGGGCAAGCCTCCCCATGTGTCTTTCAGACTCCTGTTCTTGGCTGAAAACACATCTTAAGACAGTTACATGAATAAATCCCCTCATTGCTGATCACATCTTCTGCAGTCTTGTCCTGATTTTTTTTTTTTTCCTGTTGGTGCTACTTGACATTTCATGATTCAGTGAGATTTTGCTTTTTAATAAATGAAAGCCACCTGGTGATGACAGATGACATTGTCAGCCAATCCCCACAAGGGAATGAGGACATGTCCTGCAATTCTGAGTGAAAAAAAAAAAAAAAAATGACAGCCAGAGCTCTTACAGCACCCCAGACTTGTCAGAGCTCAGCAGGCTGTGACATGGGCAGTGGTGAGGGCCAGCTCTCTTCCCGCCTGGCTCTCCTCCGAGCCACTTAGGTGACTGGGGAGTGTGCTCCATGGGTGTGTACACGCAGAGCACCAAAATGACCTTGACCAGCTCTGCCCTGGACGGCTGCTAAGAGTGTGTGCACAGCACGTTAGGACTGTTGTCACCTTCTACCAACACGTATCTCAAAAGTTACTTGCACATACATGTGGAGGACAGTGTGGTGGTCCATGTGTACAGTGACAAGAAAATAGTGAAATGTGCTTTCTGTTTCAGAGTCAGGAACAAACTCTGACAATGAGGATGAGGATGAGGAGGAAGATGGTAGTTACCTGCACCCATCTCTCTTTGCCTCCAAGAAGAGCAGCCGGCTTGAGGAGCTTATGAAGGTACTATCTCGGCATTGAGCTGCAGTGTTCTTCACAACAACAGTGCTGTCCCCAGCCTGCCTTTTGTGATGTGTAAAAAAGCAGAGGCCCGCCGTTCGTGGTTGTCACAGAGATCAAGCCATGTGCGCCCTGAGCTCGTCTGGGCCAGCTGAGCACTTGCCTGTGGCGAGGCAAGACTCCCGCCTGTGGGGGAGCAGGCAGTAGCTCTGGGATGCAAGGCTTGCTCCAGGAACGAATGGGGGGCGACACTCTGCACATGGGTGGCTCTGACTGAGGTGACATATCCAGGTGATAAAGGGACACAGAGCCTCCGAGGCAGATCAGAGTGATCCCAGACCTCTCTTCCCTGTTTGGGGGTCAGTAACACGGGAGTGTCAGTTTAGGCTTGGACAGGCAGCTATCAGGCAGACATCCTTGCAAGAGAGTGCCTTGTCCAGGCTGTGGTTCTGGTCCAGTCTCTTGGGTCATTATTGCTGTTCTGGAGCTTGAACCCTGAGCCTTGCACCTTTCTGTATCCCTGCCCTCCTTGTACCTTTTATTTCTGAAACACGGTCTAGGTTTCTGCTTTGCCTGCATGGGCTCGCTTGTCTGAGACAAGTGCATATGACTCCTTCCTCTATCTTGCTGTAGGTGACTCCCCTTTGGCACTGGCTGCTGTCATTCTCTGTGTGTGTGTTTGTGTGTGTACGTGTACGTGTACAGTTACGATTTTCTTACATTACGTATGCTACACTGTACTGTTGAGTTGAGCCCTTTTTTTCATGTTCACACATAAAACATGCTAGACAAAGGGCCCTTTGTCTTTCTGTCCTAGCCCTTGAAGGTGGTGGATCCAGATCACCCCCTGGCAGCCCTGGTGCGTAAAGCACAAGCTGACAGCTCTGCCCCCCCCACGCACACTGCAGATGGTACGCCCACACAGCCCTCCCAGGTGGAGTACGCGACAGACTGTGAGTACTTGCTGCGTTCATCCTGTCGTGCCCAGCTGCAGCACTCTTGCACGTGGCTGCATCCAGGAGGGAGGGGCCTTAGGCCGCCCCACATCCAGCATGGACTCTACCAGGAAAGAAGAAGAGCAAGGCCCAGGGCATAAAGCAGGAGCTGGCTCGTCCTGCCCCTTTAAGGCTTTCCCAAGGGTCATCCTGTGACACCTTTTAAATCCTGATTGGCTGGATTAGTGTGACGTGGTCATCCCTCACTGTAGTTTAGGCTGGGAAGTGAATGCAACACTTGGACACATTGCTGCCCTGAACAAGATCAAGTTTTGGGTTCAGACCAGGGAGAACAGATGTTGCGTAGGTGACTGGTATTGTCTGTACTGTACACGGTTTTGTGATAAACGTTGTAGCAGGAGACTGGTGTCGACATGCAGGATTCAGTAGACGTGTTGTCTGTGCTGTGAACAGGTTTATAATAGCATTGTGAAGCCACGCTACTGTTGACGTGTAGAATTGGGCCAACAGACTTCTGCTAAGAAGAATGGAAAGAATGGGTGCTGGGTCCACTTAGCACCGTCTGCCCTAGCTGCTCTCCTTACAGCTGTGTGCAGCACCCTCTGTCCACAGGAGGGTTGGCTTCAGGACGCCAGCAGCTGCCACAGCCTTCAGGTTTCTCCCCCTGCAGACTAAAAATCCTGCCAGAGAACACGACACCTAGCACAGAGCTGATGACACTGGAGTAGTCCTTATACCGTGTCCTTTGCGGAATAACAAGGAAGAAAGCATCAGCGTGCTTCTCCCCACATGCTTTCCCTGAGCTCGTTTGTACCCATGGAGTGGGACCTGAGGACTGCCAGCTGCAGTGCGCACTGCCAAGTCGCACTTCCAGTCCTTGCTGATTGCTGCTACCGTTTTAATGACGTGAACACGGTTCCTGAAAGCTGGAACGAGTGCTCCGGCCTCTTCCAGTTAGGTGTGGAGCTTGCTGGGCAGAAGCCGCTCCCTTGGAGCAAGAGCCGGAGCTGGGCCGCTTGTCAGTTGCCCGTGTGCTGACCCAGCCCTGAGTGGCTGGCTGCCGAGACGGCTGGTGCCCCTCTCTGGATCAGCTCCGCTAAACATGGCAGCTGCTTTTTGCCTCCTGCTAGCACCAGCACGCTGGTATCGTTTTGCTAAATTGATGTTCTCAGACTGTGAAGATTACTTACTTAAGTGAACTTTCTGCATGTGTCCCCGAAAAACTCAGAGAAAGTTTCATTTCTTTAAACATCAAGTGAAATCTCCCAAGCACTGCAGTGAGACAAATCTGAGCTATAGGGTTGAGTCATGCTAAGTCCTGTGGTCCCTGTCAATGGCAGTGTCACGCAGACCTTTGTCCTCACCCTCAGGTGTTCTGGAGATGGTTGCTGGCGCCCAGCCACACAGGGTAGATTGCAGGAGGGCCCTTCTTTGGCAGCCCATGGGAGGCTCACACACGACCACACCAACAGTGCCCAGAGTTCTGTGTGGCCATACTCAGTACAGCCCAGCACGGAGGGACATGTCACCTCCCCGCCTGCTGCCCTTGTCCAGTGTGTCATGGACTTGTGCGCGTCAGATACAATGTGGTCGCATGTCCACAGTGGTGCTGCTGCAGAGAAGAGTAGAAATTGAGGGGCACAGTTAGACACGGTTTGGTGATAGTGTGGCCTGTGGCTGCGTAGGATGGTGGCAGTTGGCCAGGAGTGGCCGCTCTGACATGACATACATGATAGGATGGTGGAGCTGGCCGAATTGAGCTGGGGTTGTGCAGGGTGTCAGAGGGTTGGGCGGAGTCCAGACGTTACATGACAGGACTCTGGTGCTGGCCCACACAGCTCTGGCTGCCGCCGCCTCCTGCTCCGCCGCCAGCTCCTCCTCTTCCCCCTCCTCCGCCTCCTCCTCCTCCCCACTTCTGTCTTGCATGTGCAGAAGAACAGGGTGTCAGGTGGGACTGACGTGAGTCTGTAGGCTCCAGACATCTCCTGTGTCGGCCTGAAGGAACACCAGGAGCCCCTTCTGCTCGTTCTGAGTACTTTCTGAAGGTCACCACCACAGCTCTCCAGGGGCCCAGCAGGTCCAAGGTGTGACAGGAGGCTTGATTGCAGTTTCCCAGGAGAGCTAGAGCTGAACTTGGGGGTCTGAATGACGGTAAAACCTCAAAGAATTCAGGAGACACCTGTGCTGAGGTGCAGGTCCGCCCAGCTGTCATGGGCTAAGGCGTTTGTCTCACAGTGGTCTGAAGGGTGTGTCCCTGGGCTTCAGCTGCAGCACACCTGCCATCTCCAGGTGCTGCCTTCCTGTGTACCATTGCTTTCTGCTGCTACCTGGCTGTCTTCTTTTGGTGTCATGTAGTTCTCTGAGCTGCTCTGTCCCTGATGGCCTAGTAGGTCTGCAGTGAAACACCCAAGGAATAGGGAATCCTCTCTGGCAGGCTGTCAGCCAGGTGGCGACACGGTAAGTTATATGTGACAAGAGCCTGTAATCCCAGACTGTGGAATGCAGTTGCTCTGCAGCCGGTGGTTGATGGAGCATGTGTGGGTATGCAGCTCCGTAAAAGTGGTGGTGGCTTTGCTTTAGCTTCTGGTGCTAAGCTCTCCTAATACGGTTGCCAGTGAGAGTTAAGTTGCATTGACAGCAGCAAGTAAGAGAACCACCCAGAGCACCCCGGGCTCAGTCACCTCTGCAAGACAGCAGTGTGGTTGGCTCCTCCGCGAGGTCTCATTTTGTGAGTGTTCATGAGGGCACATTGCTGTTCCACTGTTGGAGGTCATAGGCCGAATCTAGCTGTGGGCTTTGGAACGCTCTGCACTGAGGACGGGCAGCCAGGACTTGGCCTCTTGCATCGAGGCATCTGTGGATTCTGCCAGGACCCTGCTCCTACTGGCATGAAAGGATTCTGCTGCCGTGACCAGCAACAGCAAGGTGTGTGCAGGTGGAAAGGCCAGGGTACAGAGAGCAGGGCAGGTGTGGCACTCCACGCTGGCTTTCTCTCCTTGTGGCTGTTGCATTGTTGCTGAGGGTCTTGTGCAGAATCTCACTTGTGGCGCTGTCAGGTGTCAGTTTGCATTCTTTGGGCAAACACAGCCTTCCTGTCTCCTAGAACACTGGCTTTGTACACAAGAGGAGTAATATTTACAGGCAGTGAAGTAGCTTTCTGTGGTGCACTTGTTTTGTGAGTTTTCACCTGGCAAAATACTTCAGAACGTTATTAGGAAGAAAGCTATGTTGAAAATTCCTTAAGTTAGCGATCACTTTGGAAGACTTGCCTGAGCAGAGCCCTAGGCTCAGGCTCAGGTAGGGTCAAGACCCTGGAAAGCCCCGGTCAGCCTCCCAAGAACAGGGTGCTGTGCACAGTAGACACGGCTAACGACACAAAGCAGGTGTCCAGGGTGGAGCTGTGCATATGTGGCCAGGGCAGGGTCTCTCTGGGTTGGAGGTGACACCTGTCGTCAGACTATTCAGGAATGTGTCTAAGTCCATCTGTGCATCTTGTGCCCACTTCTGACCTGTGGAGCTACGAGGGGGCTTCGATAGCGTCAGGGTTTCCCATCCAGCTGTGCAGGAGTAGCGTGTGCCATAAAGCTGAGCCAGGCCTTCATGCTGCCCCTTCAGAGTCATGTGAGGCATCCCCTGCCTGGGTGGAGCAGCCAGAGGCAGGTCAGCCTGGGTGTGTGGGGCGGCTTGCGGTGGTGCCACTGTCCTGTGCTGCCTGGACAGAGCAGGGGGTAGCCTGCCACACGCCTGCAGCAGGCCATGGTATCCCCCAGGGGGAAAGGTCAGGGTCTTGACCAGCTGACTGGTGGCCCAGCAGGGGTGGCCTGAGCTGTGCAGACCTCATGCGCTAGGGCCTGGCCTTCTGGATGAAGCAAGACCCCAGCCACACACACAGAGGCTTGACCCCACTGTTACCACATCTAGGACCTGATCTGGTCCAGGACCAGGACTAGCACCTGGCACAAGTGGCTAGATGTGGCCCTTCACAGGACTGTGCTTTGCCCCTGGGACTTAGAATTCAGACTTTGTGTCCTCATCAAGTGAAGAATGGGCTCCTTGGCTGCCAAGACCCTGTCCCAGAGGACTTTAAAATGAACGTGCAGGGGGATGAGAAGGATGCTGTCTAGAGAGCGCTGTCTTAAGGGGGGTCGCGATGACCCCAGATGTCCTCCTCGCTGGGCTGGCCCGTGGCGTGCTGCCATGCAGATATGTGCTGTGGAGTGCAGTGCACAGCGTGTTCTGCAGCTGTTGGTCTCTCTGGGCACTATGCACCCCAGGGGCAGCGAGTGTCACAAGGGTAAAGGCCACATCTCTCCTGGTGGGCAGGCTGCCCTCACCTTCCACAGGACATGGTTTTGTGGGAGCCGTGAGTGTGTAAGGTGTTTCTCTGTGTTCATACTTGTTAAGTACACTCACCCCAGAAAGCAGACATGTGCTGTCACCAACAGATGGGGGACAACTAGGCAATGAGGCCTACACCAAAGCAGGGACATCAGAAGGGCATGGCGAGCACTGTCTGGGAAGACAACACTCCTACTGAAGCCCCACAGCCAGCTATGCTCACCCCTCACCCCACCCCGGCCACCAGCAGAGGCAGGTGCCTTGGCCTTGTGCCTGGACAGAGCAAGAGGGGAGCCTACCACACACCTGCAGTGGCCCATGGTATTCCATAGAAAGATGGGGGTGCAGGGGAGGCAAACAGGACTTTCCTGGCTGAACGCAGTGAAAGGAACTTGGGTGCTGGCAGGAAGAGAAAACAAGGAAGCTGTAGAAAAGCTTGGAGAGGAAACTAGGAGCTCTTGCACATGACAGCTCTTGCACAGCCTCAGGAAGCTCCAGGCATGGACCTTCCCTATGGGCCTCAGTTTCCTCCTCATAAAGTTAGCATATTAGTGTGTCATGTCCTAGTAGAACACTGACAGTCTGTGCCACATCCTGGGACCTTTAAAGGTCCCTTGTTGGTAAGAGCCATTGAAACCTGGGGTGGATACCTGCATGGC